AAAATAACGGATAGTTCTAACTACAATTACAATCAGATTATTCCCTATATCCTAGTTCTAGCGGGAGTCATTTCTTATGTAGGAGAGTCAGAGGAAATTAACTATAAAACCCAAACTTTCATTTATTTTCTCCTATATACTTTGTTTCAACTTCTGGTCCGGGAAAAGAAAATTAATGGGTTTCTGGAGTAAATATCGAGTTCTTGGTGCAGGTAGCTACGGAACAGTACATTTAGCAGCAAAGGTCGATCCTCCTCTTTTAGTTTCTACTGCCGCCGTGAAGTCCGCCGTCTTTCCGTATTCAAACTGGGTGAAGAAGGAGGGAGAAATTCTGTTCGAATTGAGAGGTTGTCGTGAAATCGTCCAGTGTTTTGGGGAAGATATAAGTTTTGAAAACAATAGAGAGGTCTATAATCTTCTCCTCGAATATGCATCAGGTGGATGTCTTACTGATTTGATCATCAAAACTGGAGGATATATGCCAGAATCTGTCGTTGCGTGTTACAGTTATATGCTGCTTAAGGGTCTCTCTCACGTCCACGAGAAAGGGTTTGTTCATTGTGACATCAAACCCGCCAATATTCTTGTCTTTCCTAGCCAAGATGGTTCTTCTTTACACAATCTCAAGATAGCAGATTTTGGACAGGCCAAGAAAATTGAAGAGGAGGTGAAAATCTTGAATCCTGGGCGATCGACTCACAACAGAGGGGCACTGCTCTATTCGTCTCCAGAATCGATAGCTTTGGGAATTCACAAGCCAGTTACCGATATATGGTCTCTTGGTTGCATCATAGTGGAGATGATCACAGGGAAACGCATTTGGTCGACTACTCGGAGTGATTCAGAATTGTTTCAGCAGATTGGATTTGGTAATCCAATACCCGAAAATATTTCCGACACTGCGAAAGATTTCTTGGACAAATGCTTGGCCAAGAAACACGAACAGAGATGGACGGCCGACATGCTATTGAGTCATCCATTTATTGTCAAGAATTTGGCAACGTTGCCTCCAAATTTCGAAGATCGAGTGATGTTCTGTCAGACTAATCCCTTTTCGACTGGTATATGGGCTTCTACATTGAACCTGTTTACTACTCCACCTAAGTTTCATCTTCCATATCCTCACCAACTTTGTGCATTACCCCGGAAGATTAATCAGAATGTTCGTGTTCGTTATCTGTTACCTTAGAAGCTATATCAACCCCGCCAGAAGGTTCAAATGCCGATTAGTACTTGGTATCTTTTGGAAACAATCTGGGAAAAAGTTGATATCTAGTTTAGAAATTTATAATGTTTTGAATTTATAGTTCCAGGTATTAGTTTCTTCAATTAGGTTATTTCTGGTTTCCACATTCAGTAGAGTGCTTGAGATACACGTAATTTTGGAATAAATTTCAATTTTGTTATTCTCATTGATTCATGAATTTTAATGTAATGACTTCGATAGTTTTGCTCATAAATGTACGGAAAATACAGTTCAAAATTTTCATAAAAATATATACTTCTTCTTTTTTTTATTTTTAATTCATTACGTAAATGATTCCTATTACACTTCCATTAATCATTCTTCTCACAACGACATCAATGTCAATTTATTATTTATTTATTTTTAATTTGAAACTACTTCAACTTCGTTATGTGAAACAGTAAATTTTTATTATATTATGTTAGATTGATACATGGGTACAAATCTTTTTATGGGCATTCAATGTCATTATTGTCTGGAATGACATTACATGAAGCAATAATTTTTTTTATCATAAGGGGTTCGTTATTTTTGTCACAACAACTTTAGTATCGTTATATCATATTTATAATGCGATCCAAATCATTTTTACTATAACAACTTCAGTGTAGACATAATTGTGAATAACAATTTCAATGTCGTTATCGATTCACATAAAACAACAAATTCAATGTGAAAGTATGTCGAAATCATTTGTAAATGCTTTCATTTAAACATTGTAATCACCCATATTACTCCACTCCAATACTTACATTGCAAACATGAACATTTTTAAATTAGAACAACACAAGATGTCGAAAATCATAGAATCAATTACAGTTACATGATTAATTGTTAATAT